AAAATTTTTATAGTAAATTAGAGCATCCATTTCTTTTTCCCTTGTAACTTGATAAATTTCTTTTCAATCGATGTCATGGTCTATCCAAATAAAACCTGCCAGTTTTGTGTATATTGTAAATTGTATACATCTTTCATAGTGACAGTCTGCTTATTTGATTATGGTTTACTAGATGTTTCTCTTCTGAGAGTTTACACTTAGTATGCAGATTATACTGTAGTTCAGATGACTTTGGGAACTCCTTTGAACTTTTGGGTCTGTGTTTAAAGATCAAGCACAAAGTAAAGTCTCCAGTATCCAGCAACTTCACTTTAACATGTTGAGAAGTAAAAATATATATACTGGACTAGAAATAGAAAGGCTCGGGAAACTCTTGGAGTTATTTAGGGCTGAGTGAAAGTAATTAGCTTTTGTATTGTAGCTGCGGCTGCTGCAGTTACAAAGAGATGCACGAGGCAAAGGACATTGTAAAGAAAGAACAAAGCTTGATGGCTTTGGGACAGTGGGATGGGGCTGGTGAAGGATGAGAGGCTACACGTGTTTAAAACAGGTTGAGTTTGATCGAGGTTGACAGCAGCATATCTGGGGGAAAGTGGCCACCAGATGGCTGCATGTGGACTAAAAATTAGGAGGGCAAAGCAGAAATACAGATTGGAGTCATTGAGGCAATGGTTGAAGCCATGGGGATGCATGAAGTCAGAGAGAAGGAAGAAACGCAGCGTCATTGGGGCTGCCCTTCAGGAGAGGTCGAAAGGGGCTGCAGTATTCAGAAAGGAAAGCGGCAGGAACTCAGGAGCAGTGTCGGTTTGAGATTATACCTTTTTATTGGACAGAATTTATGTTGTCCATCATACAGGAATATCTATTGAACCAGGTAAATATGTCATCAGCGATTTTAAAACCCAGTCTTTGAATTTTAGACACCTCATTCAGTTTTTATACAAAAAGGCCTAATTGTATAGACTTTATAAATGTATTTTTGTTTAATCAGCTGAAAGTTGATCAGATTTTATGAAAAATTTGTCAAATATGATCAAATCAATTCTTGAACTTTGGTTTGGATGAAATTTCCAGAATCCTTTGACATGTTCAAAATCCTTTGCGTATCAGTTCAACTTGTGGAATAGATTCATAATAATGAAACATCATGCCACCATTGTCTACAATTTAGCCCTAAGAGAGCAGTATTAAGGACATGGAGTGTTTGCCAGCCCCCTGGATTATTTTCAGCTGATGCGATATCCTGAGATATGAACCAGAGCGACCTGTCTTGGAGCTGAGATTCGCTTTGTGAAGTTTCCGGAGCCATGGCTATCAGTTTCCTCAAGAGCACTGTTGTCAAGTTTGTGTCAGGGCACAGTTCACCACCACAAAACCTGAAAACACAGTTTCACAAGCATCACGTCAAGTTGGGTTTATTCATTCAGAGTTGGTACTTTAATTCCTACATTTAGGAATGTAGGCTGAGGCAAGATGAGTTATATACTGAAAGTATCTACCTCAAAAGCCTGTCTCCACAATGTCTTCATTTTTGTCACAAAAAATGAACTGGAGGTCTGAAGGCATGCACTGGGTAGCAGATCACTGCACTCTTCAAAGTAACAAATGGTGTACAGAAGATGATCTCGTTTCAGCCTGGCAAGTGACCAAACACTGACATCATCCCCTAGTCGTTATCTGCGGACTCGGACTTCACACTCAGAAGTACCGAGCACTTAGATCCTCTTTCGCTCTTGTAACTTGATTCTGTGGTTACCATGCTACCATATCTAGCTGCAAAGCATCATAGACTCCACATGGGAAAAGCATATTAGTGCTTCTAGATAATGTGTTCTTCTAAATTATATCGTTGTGTGTATTGTCTTATAATGTATTTGAGAGGAAATATTGCTTTAATCAAATAAATAAGAATCCTCCACTCATTGCAGAAAGATTAGGAACATGCATTCATGCTATTATTTAATTGAGAGAAACGCTTAATCTGTCCTTAGAATGTTAGGTTAGCATTAATATTAGTTTCTATTAAACCTTATTTTTGCATGAAATTCTTTGATAAGCGTTTTGTATCCAGATGATTGGTCTCGCGTCCCCTCTGCCCAGCGCACAGATGAGCTTGGCTCCGCAGGGGATGGCCTAGTGAAGAGATTGTTTTTTCACAGCACTGCTTTCTGAAGCTTAACAGAATGCAGGAAATTGCTCTCTAGGGTGTGGAAAGGAGATTCAGCCCGGATTTAATACAACCCCTTCAAGATAATGGAAGCAGAAGGCAGGAAATAGCCTCATAAGGCTCACTGGAATACCAGCCCCCACAGCAAAATCAAATCACATACATGAATTAAAGCTGCTAGGTCACTTGGTAAAAGTTTTGGAGGAAGCAGGAGGAATTGGATGGGAGTAAGGTGGAGCAGGGGGGGAAACACTGAAATCCTGCCATCGCCTGGAATCCTGACATTGTGAATGACAACTGCTGAAGAGACACAGGCCCGTTCCAAGCGCCACACCTCACCTCTCTGTTTTCTTTGTCCCTCGAAAATGTACTGGTTACGATCCAACAAAATTGATTCTGTCCTATTGGCAAAACATCAGTTTTTAGTTTCTCTTAGAAGTAATTCTGTTTTTCAGACTCTAAATATATTTCAAGCAGCTATATTGAAGCCTCCATTTTCTTCAGACTCTAAGAACTTAATCCACCTCTCTAGTTATATATACTTTTTAATTTTAGGATTCACATACCTATTTTTCAGTTGACCCTATTTGTAATATACTGTTCCTGAAAATGTTTTATGAACTGCCAAACACTATAAATTTTAAGTGGTTTTAAATAATATTTCTCTTTAATTCAAGAAACGTTCATGGAATTAAAATGATCTGATAACTCAGTACAAAAGCTCTTAAAGTGAAACACATGGCAGTACATCGTTGTTTGTCCCTAACTCATTGCAGTTCTGGGGGGCACATCATTTCACTTCTCAGAGCACTCTTCTCAGAGTAGGGACGGTTTTCAGGCCAATGGGAAATAAGCACATAGCAGACGGTTTTGGTTAGTCCTTGCAGGCTTTTCCCGTAGATGTGGATATGCACATGTGCCTATTTATCTTGGGTGTATTCTAAAGTTGGCTTTCTTGCTTTATACTGGAGGCAAAGGAAGAGAACCACAGCTGCCCCTTCCTTCTGGTGGTCCCTGGGGCCGTCGACTCCATGCTTTCCTTTCTCATGTTTATCCAGGATGCCTGCCTTCTGTCATCCTTTGTTGCGACTGCGCAGTAGTCAGTCCCAGGAAGCCTTCCCTCAGGGAGGACTCCCGTACCTGTATTAGTACTTTGATTTGCTGTTTCCTTTTAAGTTTTGTGTGGTTACCCTCTCGTGTGTTGCTTCCGCCCTTACGTTGGTATAGTTTTGGTGTATTCATGCCTCTGCAGTGTATGCCTGCTCTAGCTGATGAGATGAAAAGCTGCCTGAAGACAATGTAGGTTTTTTTCCCCTCCCTTCCTATACATACCCTCCTCTCTGCAAGCACTCTACACATAATAGGTGTTTAAAAGTTTATTCACAAATTGTGAAGGTAATTCTGCATTGTTGTCTGATTTTAGATGGTTGCTATATTGTGTGATCACTGAGGCCCACCCAGAGAATTCCAGAGGCCCACAGAGCCCTCTAGACACTTCTGGTTCACTATTCTGATTATTTTGTTCTTGGCCAGCTTTGTAATAAACACTAGGAATGGAATTCTTAAGCCAATAAAATGTATTCTTTTATCCACTGCTCTTAAATGAACATCTGTGTGCTGTAGTAGACAGATAGCAGGGGCTATTCAAAATAGAATAATAGTACGTATCATGGCACAAGTCTCTATTGCTAAAAGCATCCTATACACACAGTAAACTTAGCTTTTTTGTGTTTTTATTATAAAGTTGATCATTTATTTAAAAAAATACAGAACAGTAGAGTGACCTATGCTGTATTTTTTATGAGCAGTTAACACTGTATCTTGGATACAGTAATTAAGGTTTTACAAAATATTTTTAAAATATATAGTTAACTTTGTTTTCTGTCCTTCCCTGCTTTATTTGTGATATACCTAGTAAAATAGTATAGTAGCCTCTGTTTTAGAAATGAATATTTTATGGTCCTGTTTGTTACTTGGCTTTTTAAAAATCGGTGGCATTATCGCCACCATTGAACTGTAAGCTGGTGAATAGTAACTGTTTCTACTAGGAAGCTATCAGTTGCAACTAACGGAAAGCCATCTGAATTCAGCTTGAGTAGTAGGGGTATTTACTAACTTGTATGTAACTGAAAAGATCCAGAAGTGGTACAAACTACAAGCGTAGTAGGTTGCACTTCTATCTCATTTACGTCATTTATGTCACCTCTCCTTTCTCTGTCAGCTTTCCCCTCATTCTGCCTTTCTTTTGAGTCTCAAAATGGCTTGAGAATAAAGGGCTCCCTCAGTCACATTTGGAGGAGTGTGGGGGCCTCCCTCACCACCATGTAACGACTTTTTTACCTAGGTTCTGATGGGGTATTTCTGGATCCCATCACCGTGGTGATGGAGAAGGTTGTACACTCATCGGCCTGGACCTGAGTCAAATGCCTGGCACCACGCCAGTCTGGGGCAAGGGTGACTGAAATGGAGCCAGCCCTATCCAACCACAAGAATGAATGCATGGGCTGGTCTCATGCACTTTCTTACAACACCTCCATTATCTTGGAGCCCAGAAGGAGACGTTAGAAATGTATCTTGTATATTAAGGACTATCTCAGCAGTCCAAGCAGGAAGGCTGGAAACAAATGGCAGTAGTCTTAAGCTTTATATATAGTTCAGGCTTTGGTTGACTTTCTTTGCTTCTTTTTAAAATATTCAAAGGTCCATGGTTAGCCAGTAATGAGTTTTGTTGTAAAATTCATTTGAAACTGGAACTGGGGAAAACTCGCTTCATATTCATACCAAAGTATTTGAATGGTTCTTTGCATTAGTGAGTGATATTTCTTTTTTCCAGGGAATGGATTCGTAAACTCAAGAGCTTCTCCAAATTTGATTGGAACTACTGGTGCAAATAGTTTAGGCAAAGTTATGCCTACAAAGTCTCCCCCTCCTCCAGGTGGCGGTAATCTTGGAATAAACAATCGAAAGCCAGATCTCCGCGTTGTCATCCCTCCTTCAAGCAAGGGCATGATGCCTCCACTGGTATGTTAAACCTGTCTTCAGTTTCATTCTTTAAAACATGTGTTTTATACAGAGCCAGTGTATATTTTCCTTTGAAATGTTCTATACATCCATACACACTAGACCTTTTCCTAATGAATATTTCTATTTGAAACTAGCACTTGAAGAAACAAGTCTATTTGAAATACACAGGACTCAGATTAAGGAGAAACAGAAATCTGCTTAATGTCTATTTAAAATTAAAGTTAAATATGGAGAGGTTGTTATGCTTAATATTAATTTTACCAGGCTGACATCTCTGCTTAGAGATCTAATCCCCAAACTGATCATTTAAACCTGCCTTGAGTATTTTTTTCTGTACTTTGCATACTCTCGGTAAATTTTGCACGTGCTTTTCTGTGAGGGAAACACTAAGTTACTTGTTAGAAAATTCTATATACTAAAGAGAATTACTGTAGAATAGGGAAGAATGCATAAAAACATGAGTTAGTCTCCAAATAATTTTTTTGTTGTTTATTCCTTCTCCCATAACCTTCTCAGTTAACTCTGTAAAGAATAGAGGTCTCCCTAGCCCAGCCCTTGACAGTGTCTTTATAGTTCCAGCCTCATTTACTTTTGAATCCTGTGTTTATGAAGCGGAATATGATTATCCTCCTTAGTCTCTCAAAGAAGAAAATTAGAATATATATGCAAGTTTTATAACCATTCTTAGTTGAGCGATTGACTACTAACATGCCAGGTGTTCTTTCTACTATGCAGCTGCTAAACTCGCCATTTGATTTTTTGCTAAGTGAAAGTGATGCTATCAGCCTTTAGATGATAAGTCTACATTTGTATAATGCCTTATAGATTCCCAAACATCCTTATACACATTGTCTCATTTACCCAAAAACTGATCTTGGCTAGGTAGAGATGAGGAAACTGATGGAGAGGTTAGTACTAGTCCAAAGTATTAGAAAAGAGAGCCAGAACCAAAACTCTTTAAGTAAAAAAACAAAGTACTTTTTCATTCGGAGATATGGAAAGCTGGAAGCTGTGTCACTCCTAGCCTTACAAAGAAAAAAAGTTGGACAAGCAGCAAGTTCCCAGGTACCCTTGAACACAGGGTAGTGCTGAGGCTTCAGGGCAGCTGACTGGCCCAGACTCGGGGGAGAGGACCTCTGAGCACTGACGGAGCCGGGGAAGACAGGCACAGTTAGTGAGAGTTAAGCCAGGGTGACTGGTGGACTGTTGGAGGCCAAGTGGTCACTGGCAGGACTGTGTGAAGCCTCTGGGGCCATGATATAGGGGGAGTCTGTGTTCTCCTGTGGGCTCTTTCCAGGAACCTCACACTGGGTGCTCCGAGGAAAGATTGGGAATGTCCTGAGTAAGTCTCTGTGGCGTCAACTTGGAGGAGGGAGAGCAGCCCCTGCAGCCAGGGCAGGAAGTGTTGCCTGGAACCTTCTCCCCTTTCTCTCCATGGAACAGAAGTCTCAGTCTGTGAGATAAACACCAAAACGGTCACCCTGAGGGCAGTGGTGAAGCCCCAGGGCATCTGGGGAATGGAAAAGGAGAACTATCTCAGCCCGTGGTGGCGGAGCAGGAACAATGCCACGAGCATGGCAGGATGGCTGAGAAGGGCGCTCTCTGAGGCAGCACAGAGGGGAAGGCTGAAAACTGAGGCGGGAACTGTCATTGTGGAAACAAACACCGCTCCCGTTCCCCCCAGAGGAATTCCAGGGCTGTGGTGATGCCCTGAGAGGAACCATAGCAACAGGCAAGCACAACCCTGCACTAAGGGCCTAGCAGGAGATCAGACCTGTCGGTCTCTAGGTCAGTGGGAATTACCCCAACTGAAATACAAAGAGAAAGAAAAGTGATGAAAACAGAACTATGAAATAGAACAAAGCCTCTAAGAGCTGTGGGACTTCATCATGGTTTAACATATTTGTAATTGGAATTCCTAAAAAAGAGAGTAGAGAGACCAGAGCAGAAGAAATACTTGAAGAAATCATAACCAACAACACCAAGTAGGGTAAATACTACCACCAACACATGTGCACATGTGCACAAGCACACAGTCAGACTGCTAAAACCAAGAGACGGGAAAAAAATCTTAAAAGGAAGCCAAAGAAAATGAAGAACATATATTGGGTTATTGGAAAAGTCATGACGCATTTTTTCAACAAAAAACAGAAAAAATACATCATGACTTTTCCAACAACCCAATAGAAGAACAAAGATAAGAATTTGTACCATCCTTCTCTTCAGAAACTATCCTAGCTACAAAACAGTGGAGTTGTTACAGAAGCGCTGACATAAAAACAAAACTCTTAACCTAGAGTTCTATACCTAGCAGATATATCTTTCAAAAATAAAAGAAAAAGAAAAACTTTTCTCAAACAAAAATTGTGAGAATTTATTACCAGCAGACCAGCTCTACGAGACTGTTAAAGAAAGTCCTTTGGCAGAAGAAATATGATAATGGCTAAAACTTGTAACTGTACAAAGAAAGAAAGAAAAATTGAAATGGAATAAATGAAGATAAAATTGATATTCCCCTGTATTTTATAAATTTTTTATTTTAGAACAGTTTTAAATTTATATAAAGATTTGAAAGATAGTACAGAAAGTTCCCATGTGCCTCACACCCAATTTCTCCTATTAACATCTTACATTAGTATGGTACATTTGTTACAACTAATGGATCCATAGTGGTACATGATTATTAACTAAAGTCCGTAGTTTATCCTTAGTTTTTTTACCCTCCTGTCTTTTTTTGTTCTACGATCCCATCCAGGAGACCACATTACATTTAGTAGTCGTGTCTCCTTAGGCTCCTCTTGGCTGTGTTAGTTTCTAAGACTTTTCTTGCTTTAATGACCTTGACAGTTTTGAGGAGGGCTGGTAAAGTATTTTGTAGCTGCTCCTAAGTTGGGATTTATCTGATGTTTTTCTTATGATTCGATTGAGGTCATTGGTTTGGGGGAGGAAGGCCACAGAACTGAAGTGCAATTTTCATCACATCATAAAAAAGGGTACATATCATCAACAGGACAGTTACTACTGATGTTAACCTCGGTCACCTTGCTGATGTAGTGCTTCATGGGTTTCTCATGTAAAGTTACTCTTTTCCTGCTTTTTGATACTGTCCTCTTTAGAAGGAAGTCACTATGTGAGGCCCACACTTAAGGCCACATTCTTGAGAGCACAGTATCTACATAATTTATTTGGACTTCTTTTGTATAGGTGACTTACCTGTTCTCATTTATTTAATCATTTACTTATATTGATATAGACTCATGGGTATTTATTTTATACTTTGGGTTATAATGCTACTAAATTCTGTTAATTTATAATTCTACCAATATAGTTTATTCTGCTGCTTAAATTGTTCCAGCTTTAGCTATTGGGGATGATTCAGTTGGCTCCTGTGCTCCTTTCACATACCCTCATCCTTGTGGAATGTTTCTTGGTGGTTAGGGGTGGGAGTTACTTCTTTATTTTTCAGTTACTACAAAATTGTCCAGGCTCACCTTGTATATTTCTGGCCCAAGTCCTAGAATCAGGAATCTCTCCAAGGAACCTTGGTTCCTTTTATTGAAGGATGGTATTAGAAACCAAGATCTGGGCATTTTCCCTCTTTTAATTGCTCCAAAAGATACCTGACTTTCTAAAGCAAAAACAGTGGCAGTGAATTTTGTGTTCATAGCACATCTAAAAATATATGACAACAAACAATGGGAGGGAATTAGAACTATACTGTTGTAGGTCTTTATTCTATACATGACATTATATATATTTGAAGGTGAACGCTGATTAACTAAAAATGTATATTGTAAACCCTAGTGCAACTACAGAAAGAAAATTAAAAAGAGGTATAAATAATAAGTCAGTAGAAGAGATAAAATCGAATTATAAAAAATGCTCTAATGGCCCAAGAAATGGGGGGAAAAAAAGAAAAATAGAACAGATGGAACAAATAAAATATAACTAGCAAAATTATAGATTTGAATCCAATCACACAAGTAGCCATATTGAATGTGGTCGTTAACATTAGTTAAAAGACAAAGTATCAGATTGGTTAAAAAAGGAAGATAATACTATAACTGTCTGCAAGAACTCCACTTTAAATATAAAGACATAGGAAAGGGCCAGCCGAGTGGCACGTTGGTTAAGAGCTGGCTTGGGACGCCAGAGGGCCCCGGTTCGGATCCCACATATGAGGGCCAGTGAACAATGGGAATTTGAAATTTAAAAATACCATTTGATTAGCACCAAAAATAAAAGAAAAATAGCTAGGTACAAATCTAACAAAATATGTGCATGATTTGTATGTTAAAACTACAAAACACTGTGGAAAGAAATCAAAGACCTAAATGAAGAGATACATACTGGGGGTGCCAAAAAAATGTATATATGACTTGTATTCATCTTTTGTTATCAGTATACATTGAGTATTACAATTTTAATAGTTCTTTTCCTTTCTTAAAATGTGTATACATTTTTTTGGCACCCTCTGTATATTAACGGATTTGAAGATTCAGTATCGTCAACATGTCACTTATCCTTAAATTGATCTATAGATTAAATTTAATCCCAGTGAAAATCACAGCAAGCTTTTTTTGTAGATATCAACAAGCCAATTCTAAAATATATATTGAAAGGCAAAGGAGCTACAATAATCAAAGGAATTTTGAAAAAGAACAAAACAGGAAGACTCACGCTACCTGGTTTCAAGACCCGCTGTAAAGGGACAGTAATTGAGAATGCGCGGGGTTGGCAAAAAGATGGGCACAGAGATCAGTGGGCAAAACGGAGAGCCCACGCAATAGACCTACACAGGTACATTCAGCTGGGTTTCTGACAAAGGGAGGAAGGCATTTCTATGGAGGAAGGATAGTCAGTACAACTAATGGCGTTGGAACAATTCAACATCCATATGCAAAAACAGAACCTCAATATGTAACTCATACTTATACAAAAATTAACTCAGACTGTATCACACACCCAAATGTGAAACATGAAACTGAAACTACTAGAAGAAAACATTGGCGAAAACAATACAACACCGAAAGCATGAACTGTAAAGAAAAAATGGATATATTGGTATTAATCAAAATTTAAGTTCTATTCTGTGAAAAGGCCCTGTTCAGAAAATAAAAAGACAACCCACAGATTAGAAGAAAATATTTGCAAATCACCTACTCAATAAAGGATTTGCATCCAGAATGATACAACTACACACCTAGTAGAATGACTAAAATTACAAAAACAGAAACTAAAAACTCAAAATTCTGGCAAGGACGCAGGGCCAATAAGAGCTCTCATACATTCCTGCTTGGAATGTATGGTACCACTACTTTGAACAACAGTTCAGCAACTTCTTATAAAGTGAAATATATATTAATACTTGTCATACAATTCAACAATCCCACTCTGATTTACCCAAGTGCTGAAACTAGGCTTATACAAAAGCCTGTGTTTTTCATAATCGCCTCAAACTGAAAACAACCCAGATGAACTGGTAAACACACTGTAGTATGTTTACTACATACTACACAAAGGGACACTGCTCAGCCATAGGAAGGGATGAGCTATTCACAACAACATAGATGAATCTTGAGCAAATTTTGCTAAGTGAAAAAAGCCAGATTCCAAAGTCTACATAGTGTATGATTCCATTTGTGTTTCATTCTGGAAAATACAAAACATCAGCGGTTGCTAGGGGTGGGGAGAGTAGCTGATTACAAAGGGTAGTAAGTGGGGATTTTTGAGGTGATAGAACTATTCTGTGGTACTGTGTTGCTGGGTTCGTGAGTCTGTGCTTTTGTCAGAACCCATAAAACTACAATACAAAGAGTGATTTTTACTATATGCAGTTAAAGAAAAAAACCCAGGATTCCAGGGGAACCCAAGATGGAATGAAGACCCTGACACATGAATATAACTATATTACAAATGAGTGACATGCTACTGAAGGGAGTGAGGAAGGATGGAACTGGTTTAAATCACTTCGGAAAGTATTTTGACTTGATATTGTAAAGATAGAGCCCCCCAAAAATTGTATGAAATCACTCTACTTAAGATTGTAAATCCCTCTCCTCTCCTCTCCTCTCCTCTCCTCTCCTCTCCTCTCCTCT